GGCCATATTCTTGCAAATGGCTTGCAGATTGACGTCCACAAAGGAATGGGGCAGCTTATACTCTCCCAAATCGCCGCCGTTTTTATGAAGATCGGGGAAGTTGAGCCGCCTCGTCGTACATAGGCCATGACGTCTTCCTCAGCTCCGCCGTCTCGAAGGGTCCCAGCCAGAGCCGGGCATGGTTCTTGGCCAACCGGATCTTAGTGACCCATCCCCCCAGAGAGTTGTCGCACCCATGCGTACAATTTGGTGGGCTGTTGTTTCATGAACAGAGGCTTTAAGATGAGTGTGGCGCTGCAGTGCTCTGGATCTGCCAATACTACCTTTGGAGGCCCTCCGTTCTCTTTTCTATTTTTGCAATTTGGAGTTTAAAAAATTAGGGTTTGTTGGCATTAAATATGGGCATTGAATATAGGCGGTGAATATCATCATAAATATTGTTGAATATGGCAATGAATATTGCAATATATATGTTGTACAAGGCAATGATTGAATGCAATAAGAAAGTTCGTTATGTGCAATAACACAAACCAGTAACACAATATACTTAATTAGACGTAAAATAATAAAATTATTAAATCTAAAAAATTAAAAATAAAAATATAGATAATTTCGTAAAGTGAATGAGAAGAAAATTAATTTTGGCGGAAGTGCATTGATAATTATCGAGTGTGCAGTAATGTCGTGCAGTAATGTCTTGCAGTAACGGCAATATAAAGTGCAGTAATTTTAATTGAATGAAATTAGTGCAAAATGCACATATTTTAAATAAGGGCGCTTTCGTCATTCAATATTTAATTAAAAACGATTTTTTTTCCGGTCATATTAAAGTACAAAAACTAGTTAGGTAATAGATCGGGAAACTCATTGAGTTTTAGTCATATCCTGAGAAATTTCCCTAAAAAAATCATTGTTCGATTGAGAAGCGATGGGTTAAAGAGTCATAGTTCCTTAATTGATATAAAGGTAGTAAACCAAGGTACAACTTTTAGCTAAAAAGAGTACAGGTAGTAAATTTACTTTAGTATGCTCATGTGATGTCCTCAGTTATTCGACTTATTTCTGTCTTTACTTCCAAGTGACAATCAATATTGGGCATATCAAGAGTTTGTTTCCTATATATGATTTGGATATTTTAATGTCAAGAAGTGACAATAAAGATGCACTCAGGATAGTTCAAATGAACTCATGTAACAAAATAGCAGACACAGTATCAAATGTAGATCGTAAAAGAGCTCCAAGTGACCATTACCCTGTTTTGCACGTATTCTCGTATCTCATCCAATGTTTGCCTCAAAGGAACGCATGAGAATCAATGTCAGAGTATAACCATGGAATCTAGGAAACAAAATTCGAGATTAAACATCATCCAGAAAAAAAAGAATATAAGAAATATACTTCAACTTTTCACATGTTGTTCATTGTGGTAAAAGATAAAGTGATACAGATAAATGATAGAAGACCTGAAAACCTCAAATAATTCATGGCCTTAATGGCCGTCAAAAAGAATTTAAATAGAGTAGACATGATGAAATGCAGAGTTACAGAGAGATGAAAAGGTTTGAAAATTTTGGTGCAATGCAACTGTAATCTCTTTTGGTGCAATGCAACCGTAATCAGGAAAAATGAGTCACAGAGAAGATGAAATACCATGACTATTGCAACAGTTGATGTTGCTACTGTTTCTTCATTCTTTAAAAAATAATGAAGCTTCGGCACCATACCTGAAATGCAAAGCCTTGGTAAGACGTATATGACATCATCCTTCTCTCTGACAAAATCATCATATTTTAAAAACATATGATTTTCAAAAAGGTGGTTCTAAAGATCAACTTTAATTTTTGTGTATAAGTTTACTCCAAATCAATTTAGGGTTGGTTTGCAACTCCTTTAAAAAAAGCACTTCTGAGCTTTTGACTTTAAAAAAGCACTTATTTTCCCAAACACTACAACTTTTATGTTTCTCGGCTTCCGCGTCAAAAGTGCTTTTACTTTTTCTATTACACAAAAAGCACTTATTTTACCAAACACTACCCACTTTTACTTTTCAAAATCATTTTTTTCTCAAACACTATCAACTTTTATTTAATCACTTCTCTCCATTTCATTAAAAAAAGCACTTTTTTAAAGCAGAAGCTGTTGCAAACAGACCCTTAGTTAATTACCCCAATCTAGTTTGGCAAAAGTACATCACAATCCAAGAGGAGTGACAACAAATTAATGGAAAAAGCTACATTGGTATGAAATAACTGGGAACAATCCCAATGGATTATAACATCCTTAGCCTTAAGAATATCTCTGCCTATATTCTTCCTAATACAATGTTAACAGTTTTGTTTAACAATATATAGAAAAATAGGCAAAATACATATGGCTGGAAATACTTTTCATCATTTTTCATTCAGCCCAGTTTCATTCTAGTTGAAATTGCAATTTTTTCGCTCCCTGTCATCTTAGTGTTCTCAAATTATATCCCAGGAAAGAAATTAAAGAAACAATTGCATTTAATTCAAAATCTTCAACATGTTTCATAATACCACACCTGCATCTGTAAAGAGAATGACCTCCATTTTAAACTAAAGCCGTACATAAAATATTCTACTCTTTTAGAGGTTGGAATAACAAATAAAGTGAACTTTCAGTGGAGAAGTATGAAATTAGCTTGAAGCATAGAACAATTGATTTTTTTTAGTAAACACCTTAAATAGGATCAAGTTCTTTGATTAAGAACAATGATGGTTTTACCAAGCATCCGACATTCCGACATCATTTATTTAATTTAATCACTTAAACAACTCGACTTGAATCAAGTAGAAATCTATAATGAGTTAATTACCAACAACAACAAATAAGTAATAACATTACAAACTGAACAAATGAACTAAGAATAAATAATCATATTTTCATTCTTTGGTTAACCTCACTGTTTCATCCTACTACTTATTGATATTGTTCAAAAAGACTATGAAAGAAGATCTTGTATCGATTGAAATTTTGAGATTTTAACCGAAAGTGGGGAGGAAATCTAAGATTAAAGATAGATTTCAGAGATAATGCTAACCAATAATTATGGAATTCATTAAGATGATGGTCTGTGTGTTGTAAATGGTAAAGTAGGAATGTAGGATACCTGGCAAGTAGAAGGAGAGCTCAGAAACATCGGAATATCTGGAAAATAGAAAAGAGACCGGGGAATCACTTGAATCATATCGTTGAAGTCAGAATAGATAGAAAGAGGTGGATAGCAAGAGGAAGTGAATAGCAGATGCCTTTGAATTGTTAACCATATCGCTTGAAAGAAGAGGATGAAAGAAGAAATTCCATAAAAGACTCCTAGAATAAAGTTTACCATATCTGGTGATGGGACCAATTAACCATTTGCCTAATGATTAGAAACACTCCTGCAATAAAGTTTACCATGCAATAAAGTTTACCACACTCCTGCTTTGCCACTACTTTTTTATATATTTATGGTCGGGGTTCTCTTAAGCATAATCATTACTTGGAAGTTGGAAATGCCAAGAAAAAACTATTCTCTTATCAGGGGAGAAAATAACTTTCCTATAAAAATGCAGCATAAACAGCCTGAACAGGAAGCCCGAGGCACAAATATATTTCGTTAATGCAAAAAATGCATTGAAGAAGACTCTAGCCAATGAAGAGTGCACTTCTTTTCTTCTTATCACCATTGAAGAAGACTAACATGCCTAACCAACATACAAAACTGCAATTGCAAAATGTGCTTCACCTTTACCTTTGGTGTGGCTTCATGCATCTACCTCTTTTCTCACTTTCGATATCCTGGTGGGGAATTGCAAAACTGTTGAATTAAAACTAAAGAATGCTCCACCAGATGAAGTGTGCTAAGAATTACTACCTCCGTCCCGCTAGAAGGTTCTCATAGCAAAACGGCACGGTTATTTAGGTGATAATTAAATAAAGTATTTTGGGCATATTTTGAGAAATAATTTTAATAGGTATATATTATAATGTGTTAGTATTGATAACTGTGATGTTATAAAAGTATTATTTTAATATTAATGACTAAATTGTCACTTAAGATTGTTAATTGTTTCCTAAAATGGAAATGAGAACCTTCTAACGGGACGTCCAAAAAAGGAAAGTGGGAACCTTCTAACGGGACGGAGGGAGTACAATTCTAATTAGGAAAAGGTGTCAAATTGTCACATATGTATTAGGAACTATAACTTTAAGAGCAACATCACACTGGTTACAATTCCCATTTCATTCCATTATATATTTCACATTGGAAATAACTTATCTACTGCTGGCTCATAGAGAATACTACCATTTATTTAAGTAAAGATACAGCGAAGATTTTAAAAACTACTTTTAATTTAAAGTGATATTCATGTTCCAGGAGAAATGTTTTTAGAGTTCATTTATTTAATTTATTATTGGATTAGAAAGCACCATCTATAACAAATACCTGATCTATAAGAAATACCTAATCTATTATTTGATCAGAAAACACCAAATCTAGTGATGTGACACACCTCTAAAGATCTAAGTTACGTAATGATATTGTAGAGGATTGACATTATCAAACTGATATCAAAATATGCCGAACCAAACCCAAGTATAAGTAATTCCAATTTAGTTTGGCAAATTTTTGTTTTTTTGCAAATTGCATTAGTTTGAACCAAATCAAACAAACCCAAAATCAACCACACAAAAATAGATAGAAATCCCCAATAAGGAATTCCAGCCTTAATATTTAAGCCAAAACTAAACTAAAATACACTACAAGAAATTCGCAAATTAGTGTCGGATATTTGCGTCGGCTGTATTATGGGCCGCTGTTTAGTGTCTGATTTTAGTGTCCGATAACAATCTGACATAAATTGGTGTCCGTAATGGTCCGTCACAGTTTTGTGTCTGAAATTTGTGGCGGAATTGGTTCGGTCACAAACTGCTGGCGGACTGTGATCCGTCAATAAATTCCGACACTAAAATTAAAAAGTCAACTACCCTTATCCCAACATCAGGAACCCATGTTACCCACACAAATATTATCTGCTTATCTCTCTACCTGCTCTTTTCGAATGTAGCATCTCAGGCCTCAATTCAAGGTTAGAATTTTACTTAGTAACATCAATTTTAGTTTTATATATATATATTTTATTAGGTTTTTTCATCCTTGTATATCTAAACTGAAAATGTGAAAAACAGATGTTTTCTTTCTTTTATGTAGAGAATATGTTGTTAGTTCTTTATTTTTTTTAAAAAAAAAATTGGACTAATCAACTTTGTAGATATATGTTTCCTTTGAGTAAAAGTTTAATAATTTGTGTTCAATTTGAAATGATATATTAATTTGTGTGTAGTCACTTTATTGTATATGTTTATAATTTGTGTGATGACATAATGTATTATATGATTAGGTTACAATATTAATTAAATTACAAATGGAGAATATAATGAAATAAGTTCTTTACTTATATCCAATATGATTTTATATAGTTATTACATTTGTATGAATAAAATGAACTAGTTCCTAAAGTAATTTAGTCAGATGCATATGTAATGTGTAATATTATATTTTGTTTGTGTAGATCTAAAAATGAGCGAAAATAGATCTTGGATGTATGAAAGGCTTGCAAGGCGAGGAGTTTTAAATGAAGATTTTAAGGAAGGGGTTACACAATTCATCCAAACAGCGGTAAACTTATATCCTAATGGTGTTATTGCGTGTCCTTGTAGAAAGTGCAAGAACAGAAAATGGTTAACATGGAATATTGTTAGACAACATCTATTTGAAAAAGGATTCGTGGAAGACTACTTTGTATGGGAAGCCCATGGGGAGACACATGACTCCAATGGATTAGTTTATTTGGATCAAAGTAGTTCTACTCATAATAATGCATCTGCAGTGCAATATGATCCGTACAAATCGATGTTAGAAGATGCAATAAGGAATGAGTGTCCAACGGATTTTCACCATGGTACCAATGTAGATGGTGATTCTATAGTTCCTAATATAAATATTTTTATTTCACAGAGGTTAGTTACATGGGATACCACGAAATTCAGTGTCAAAAAAATAAAAGAAGGTTATGAAAGTTATTTGAAGGAACAAGGCTACTCCAAGATTATGAGACGAATAAGGTATCAGAATAAATGCTTTCATCAACTTTTTTCTAATAATCATGCTATCTTTTAATGTACACTTTTTACTTGTAAACTATAAAGGAAGCGTCGCCCTGCCACTGTGAATAATTTTACTTGGTCAGTCGTTAAAGAGTTTCAGCGGTCAAAACAGTTTCTCATAGCTTCAAAGTCTGGGAAAAAGAATCGTGAAATAGGCGGCGATAGATGTAAGCAACACGGAGGATCACAATCTGCCGTTGATTTGGCTACACAAGAGGTTATATTTTAATTTCATATAATGTTAACATAGATTTCAAGTATTTATTCCAAAATTTAATGACATTGTTATAGTTATATGAAATATAGTACTTTGTTTCAGTTGATGCTGACAGGTAAAGAAATAAATCCTGTGAAGATGTATGGCAAATACCATCCAAAGAAAAATAAGAATGGAGAGCTTATTGTTTGTGACTCACAAGCTGCAGAAATGGTATATACTTTTCATTTAATAATTTTTGTTTTGAGAAATTAAAGAGTGGCGCAAACCTTATGTGGACTTCAAATTACATTATCAAACTTACAATGACAGTAATCATGTGATAAGTATATAGAAATCTTTCAGTAAAAATAGTAATGATGTGATAAGTGTAACAGAAAGTTCAGATCTTAGCAGCAAAGTTTAGGCCCTCCCTTCCTAAATCTTCCAAGCTTAGAACAAAAGTGTAAAAATAGTAATGCTTACTTCTGAAGTTGAATTCGTCATTATATGTTTGAAAATAACAATTGCTTTCGCTAATATATTTGAGGGTAGTGGATCAGTTCTAATAAATTTTCATATTTGGATGATAGGCTTTGAATCCAGATTTCTTTGTGATCTCAGTCATTTGCTTACTTCTGAAGTTGAATTCGTCATAATATGTTTGAGAATAACATTTGCTTTTGCTAATATATTTGAGAGTAGTGGCTCAGTTGTAATATATGAGAGCAAGAAATAAGATTCTTGGATTGACATTTCAATTGCTTCTATTAGTTATGTTTCTCCAGATTTGTGAGGCATGAGACAACTGAGTTTGATTTCTATACTCAGTCATTTAGTCCATCATTCATGTTTTAAATCTTTTATAATTTGCAGCCTATTAATTATATTTGTATAAATTTTGTGTATAGGAAGCTGTGGATAAATTGTGTGATGATTTTGGAGATGATGTCGAAGAACAATCTCAATCTTCTGATCAAGAGGAAACCGCAAGGACATCCAATGTTAAATCTTCTCAATTGCATGCCAAGTACCTAGAAGTTGTCGGTTGCAAAAAGAGAAAAGTGCGTGGAACGGGAAGCTATTCAAAGGCATTTCTTCATCATGTGAAGAATTTAAGTGCAAAACAATCATGTTCAAAAGCTCGTCGGATGCATCACTTTTGCGTCACTTGGGACACACACTTGAGGAAATGGTTGACTTCACATGGTGATGAGTGTCCCCCGGAAATGCCACTTGTTGATGATGATTTGCAAGATGAGGATCCTGATTCACAGCCCAAGACATTTGAAGAAATATGGCTTCCATTTCTGAAATCAAGAGGAATTGATCTTCCAAATTGTTTCCCAATACTTGAGTCTTCTAAAGATGCTCCAGAAGACTGCCCAGACTCTATGGATGAATCATAGTCTCTTTAGAACATTGGCAACTAGTAATTTTGATTTTTGTTTATGTATGATGATCTGGATTATTTAAATGAACCTGAGGTCATGAATATTTTTGGTTACTAGCTACGTTTATATGAAATTAATTAAGGTTTGTATTGGATATATTTTGATTGTTGCATACTAATATAAATTTCAAAATTTGGCATCATCTTAATTTCTGTTTGAGGTTCTTATCCAACTGTTTATACTTTATATTGTTTTAGTTTATTATCTCATTTATTATAGAAATCTGATGCATTTAAAAAATTATTAATTAAAAAAACATCATTGACGGATATTTGTGGCGGAATATCGGACAATAAAAATTGTGGCGGAAATTTCGCCACTAAATTCCGTCTCTGATTAGTGTCCGACCTTCTATTCCGACGCAACACAAATTAATGTCCAGATTTTAGTGTCTGTGTTAGAGATATTTTTATTGTAATTGTGATCAATGTTACTTTGCTAGTTTATAGTTAGCTAGAATAATGAATAGGCCTGTTAAGGCAATTTTGTAATAAAGGTTTTATACCTTTTTAGGTATGGGCCTCCTAGAAAAAGGAGCCCAAATAATTGTAAAACCTACCTTTCCCGTCAGGCTATATATATGCCTTAAGGGAAAGGCTAGGTTAAGCTTTTCGATTATTCCTAGTGCCGCAGAGCCTATTTCCGTGTAAGGTTTACGCTAGAAACATTCATATCATTCTGTAAAACCTTCACATCAATGGAAAGCTTCATACACAGATCTATCTTCCATACATATACATTATAGACTAGAAAACAGGGACCTAACATCTGGTATCAGAGCCGGAGCTGATCGATCGATTGAAGGCTGAAAAAGCTTCTGCGCGATTCTTCATCGGCGAAGATTTGCACTTGAGCGATCTTCTGTTCTATTTTTGTTGTTGTTTTTACAGGAAAATGGCTGAAGGAAAAGGTTTCTACTGTTGCTAGGATCACTCCTGGAGAAAATCTCGATCTGAAATTTGACGAACAGGTCAGGCAGAATTTGAGCGATCCTGCATTTTCGCGCAACTCGCTGAAAAAGAAGAACAGGTTCGCGCAACTGAGCATCTGAGCGATTTCGAGCTTCGCGCAACAATACTTGCGTGATCTCACTCTTGCGCCATCTTCAAAGCCTCCTGCGCGATTTCATCTTCACGCAATACAGGTTGAGCGATTTAGAGTTGAGCAATTTTTTGGACTCCTGCGCGATTTGGCACTTAGCGCAAGACATTCTTGCGCGAAATCGAGACTTGAGCGATCCTCACCTTGCGCGATCTACATTTCGCGCAACATTCATCCTTGCGCGATTTGGAGATTGAGCAATTGGACTTTGAGAGATTTACAAACTGAGCGATCTTGTTGAGCGATTTGGAGTTGAGAGATTTTTTCTTAAGTTGAGAGATTGTTTTTAGAGTTGAGAGATCTTTTTGTATTGTGGAGAGATTGTTTGTAAAGTTGAGAGATCCTTTTTAAGTGTTGAGCGATCCTTTTTTAAAGGTTGAGAGATTGTTTGCCAAGACTTGAGCGATCTTTTTATAAAGTTGAGCGATCCTTTCTAAAGTTGAGCAATCTTTCGTGAAGTTGAGCGATCTTCCAACACTTGCGCGATCTCACACTTACAACTTTTCTGAACAAGAACCTTCTGCCGGAATTACCTAACAACTGAACAGGACTCCTTTAATCAACTGATCAGCCCGATCAATTTTAACATGGACGCATTATCAATCGGAAATGATACAAGACCCCCAATCCTGCGAAGGGGTGAGTACAACGTATGGAAGAACAGATTCTTGAATTTTCTTGAGAGCAAGGACCAATCTTCTGGTCTTCTTGACTCTATCACCAATGGACCCGCTCAATTGATGATAGCTGTTGAGAGAGATAACGGAAACAATCCACCGGTTGAGATAGAATGGAGACCGAAGACTGTAGATGAATATGATGATGAGGACAGAGCAAGACTTCGTGCAGATCTCATTGCCAAGACCTATCTGTTGCAGGCCATCCCGAACGACATCTACATGCAGATTGACAGTATGTCAACTGCAAAAGAGATGTGGGATGAGATCTTTAAGATCATGCAAGGCACTGAGATCGGAGTAAAGGCGAAGAAAGCTAGCACATTCACTGCTTACGACTCGTTCAAAGCCAAGCTTGGAGAATCACTCGAGGACACCTACCTCAGATTCCTGCAATTGATAAATGAGATGAGAAAGATTGGCGTGCACAAGTCGAATATGGAGCTGAATGTGAGATTTCTATCTTCTCTTGGAGCTGACTGGAAGAAGCTGAGCTCACAGATAAGGCACACGAAAGACCTTGATGAAATGGACATTCATGCAGTGTACAACACACTTGACCAATACGCTGAAGATTTCTCGGACTTTGTGGTTGCCACTGTGACGGCTGATAAAGGAAAGGGAGCTGTGGACAAGCTAGCTGACACCCTTGCCCTGATGCTTGACAAGCCTTCAAAGTCTGGTTCCAAGAAAGATAAGATGATAGCTGATGAAAGTGAAAGTGCAGACAGCGACATCGGATTTTGGGAAGATTCTGATGATGATGAGCTTCGTGACTTCCAGAAGCAGATAGCCCTTCTTACCTCCAGGTTCAACAACCAAATGCAGAAGAAGAAGAACCCCTCTAACAACAGGCTCCGCAAGTCCTCTACCAGCAACAACAAAAGAAAAGAGCGATCTTTTGAATCGTCTGAGAATATTATTGCTGAGGATGCTCCAAAGTGCTTCAATTGTGGGAAGACTGGACATCTGATGAAGGATTGCAGGATGCCAAAGAGGAGGAAGGATGCTGAATACTATAAGCAGAAGATGTATCTGAACAAGAAGAAGATGTTGCTGGCAATGGAAGAAAGTAGTGAGAAGAGTGCCCTCATGGCTGAAAAGGATCACTGGATGGATGATTCTGATGAGGAAGAGAATCTGGCCTTGATGGCAATTGTTGAAGAAGAAGAGAAAGAGAAGGATGATGAAAAGGAAGGAAAGATGAAGTCAACCCCTGCTGCTGATGAAAAGGAGAAAGACAAGACTGAGGAGAAGAAGAACCTGCCTACTGCAACCAATGCTGATGTAGCAACTGCCCTGACTGCTGAAAACAGAAATGCTGACAATGAAGTAAGTACCTCTAATTCATCTGTCCATACTTGCTCTAGAACGGATATGCCTGATAAATTTAAGGAGCTAGAGGCGAATTATAAAAGGTTGTATGAGGTATATAACCAACTGCGTGAAAAACAGACATGCTCAAACATTAAGATAATCAATTCAGAGAAAACAATCACTAAACTCACAACTGAGAATAAGCGACTTAGTGCTAGTGAGAAAGAGTTGACAGAAAAGCTTAGAACAACTGAAAAAGAAAGAATTAGGCTTTTTGGTGTCAATAATTTGCTTATGGAAAGAAGGGGTGCTCTTTATACTAAAATCAAAGAACTTGAGGATCTGTTAGCCAAAAGGGACCAAACAGACCAGACTATTTTCCTTAACCAGCCTAAGGACACCCGTTTCTATAACGCCAAAGAAGGCTTGGGTTTGACCAATCCTCAAAACCTGAAAAAGGTCAACTGTAGACAACTC